CTACCTTCTTTACCTTTTTTTATTGCCTCTAAACAATTTTTCAATTTTCACACAAAAAAACATTTTTTTATCATTTAAATTATAAATTTTTTTCTAGAATAATGTTTTTCGCCAGCCGGATTTAAACGTGATTTTTAATGCCATTTTTGAAAGATTGACTGGAAAAAAATTGTTACTAAAACAATTCTCACTTTTACTCTTAGACTTAAAAAACTTTTTATCCTATTTTTAAAAACTTGACGGTAAAACAAATTTGATTTTTAAATTTTATGCTGTTTATGGTTTGTAAGATAAATTTTAAAACTGATTTGGATAAAGGCAAAAAACCTTTTTTTAACATGTTTTGATACAAATTCATAGAAAACTTTTGTCTTAAAATTAAATATTCTCCTGTTTAAATCTGTAACAATAAAAACGGAACACGCTGTATACAATTTTTTTTCTTATTTTGAGCATGTTATTGTTGACTGGAGCAAAAATAGCATGTTTTTTTCAGCTTAAAAGTGAGTTTTTTGTAGTTTGCTCAGCAAAAAAATGGCATTTTTAATCCTAGTGAAACAATGTAGGTACTATTTTTTACTCTTTTTGCCTACAATATCTTTTCAATGTTTTTCAACAAATATTTTATTTTATATCTAATTATCCATTTCCAATTTGTTTCTTACATTTTAACTAAAGTGTATTTTTGAAAATGTTTAAAAATTTTAGTAAAATTAATGTTGTTTTGTAGTTGATTGTACCAATTGCAAAAATTGAAATTTTTTATCACTTTTATTGCAATGTTTTAATGTTATTTAAGTGTCTTTTACCTTATAGTTAAAATCATACAAATTTTTTTTTATCATATTGTTTCTAACTTTCCTAATTAAGAGTGTTTTACACAATTTATAAAAAATTTACTAAAACAATGTTTTTTTCCAACCAGTCATTTTTATTGTCATTTTTGAAAGATTGACATGTTTATAACTAGAAAAAAATTGTCACCAGACAATTCTCACTTTAATCCTAGATTTAAAGAAAATTAATCCTAGTTTTAAAAACTGACATTTTTAATCTTAATAAAACTATATACAATTTTGTTTTCCAATTTTGTGCATGTTATTCTTGGCTGAAAAAAACAGCATGTTTTATTCGGCTTAAAAATAATTTTTTTTTGCTCGAAAATGCAAAATTTGCTCGTCAAAAAAGTGACCCTTTTAAATTCTAGTAAAACAATGTAATTTTCACTCTTTTTGCCTACAATGTTTTTTTAATGTTTTTCAACAATTTTTGTATTTTACACTTAATTATCCATTTTTCTAAATTGTTTCTTACATTTTTTGCTAAAATTAATGTTGTTTTGTAATTGATTGTACCAATCGCCAAAAACGAAATTTTTTATCATTTCTTTTGCAGTGTTTAAGTAGTATTTAAGTGTCTTTTACTTTATTTTTAGAATGTTTCTAAACAATTTTTCTATTTTTTACATAAAAAATATTTTTTATCATAGTATTTCTAACTTTCCTAATTAAGAGTGTCTTAGAAAATTTATAAAAATTTTACTAAAATTATGTTTTTCTCCAACCCGTCATTTTTAATGTCATTTTTGAAAAATTGACGTATTTATAACTAGAAAACAATTGTCACCAAACATTTCTCACTTTAATCCTAGTTTTAAAAAGTGACACTTTTAATCCTAACAATAAAACTATATAATTTTTTTTTCCAATTTTGTGCATGCTACTCTTGAAAAAAAATAGCATGATTTATTCGGCTTAAAAGTGAGTTTTTTTGTTTCGCAAATGCAAAATTTGCTCCTCAAAAAAGTGACACTTTTAATCCTAGTAAAACAATAAAGGTACTATTTTTCACTTTTTTTGCTTACAATGTT